GCCAGTGTTGGACCCACTGATTAAAAGGAACAGGTTTCTCACCAGCTTTGTGATGGAGATGGTACAAGACAAAAATAGTAGAGGCCAGGAGAATAAGTTGTTGCAGAGAACAAGGGTCACCTTGTTTTTCCTCATTCCAAGCAGGTTTCTTATTTTTAGGATACCCAGTGATAACTTTGCATATGCAATATCTATAGCTTCACTGTGATAGCTGTAACAATACTAATCCAAACGGTTTACCAAATCTCTTTAAGCCTCTTAAGGTGTTTCACCGAAACACCTTTGAAAGGCCTTTGACGTGCAACTGGCAGGTGTCAGATGAGCAGTATTTGAGGCAAGATTCGGGACATTATTTTATGCTTTGCTTCATCTTCTAGTACATGGTGCTGGATGTGGCTGCAGCCTTGTGCTGGGTTGAGCTAAAGAGAACCAGTTCTGTGATTTTCGCTTGTCAGCTCAGTCTCTTCTCAAAGGCTGCACTTTCTGAAGTCAGCAGCATGTTTTTGCAGACAGTGTGTGCTACTGGCAGTGATAACACCTGATGTTTACAGTTACTGCCTGGGACTGGGATGCAGAAAGGCTCTTACTGATACTTATTCCTACAGTGCCCAAGGCCACTGCTGGCTCTTGTGTGCTACGCTGGGGGTGCCGGGTAGTGAGAGGGGTCACAAGGAAGTAAAAGGTTGCACCTCTGGGGGGTAATAGACAGGACAGGTGACTAACGAGAGTATTCCATCCCATACACGTCATATTCAGTATAAAACTGAGGGATCACAAGGGTTTAGGTCTCTTTGCTTCTCCTCTGCAACAGCTGGCATTCAGGGAAGACTCTGTCCGATCTCTGACTTTGATCCTGATCCCGAGTTCCTGAATCCAGCTCCATATCCAGCTCCCTGCTGCTGCCGAGCCTGGGGCTTCCCTGGTGCTGCCGGCTCTGCAGCACCAGTGGTGATTGCTATCAGGGTGGGGTGGAAGTTGGGTTTGATATCAGATTTGTATATATGTATACAGTTCACTGTTTTTATTTCCTTATTCATTAAAGCTGCTTTAATTTTCCTTTTTTCCCAATCCGCAAGTCTCTCTGCCACATCATTCCCTTTTCCTTGCTATCTGGAGAGGGAGAGGGGGTTAGGAGCATCTGTCTGCATTTAGTGGCCGGCCCACCCCAAACCCGCGACAAGCGTGAGATTCCAAGTTTTGTGTTTTTTTTTAAGCAATGGACCTAAAGGCACGTAGCTCGCATTTGTAACCTGCCCTCTCAAACCAGCTGTCAGTGCAAATACTGCTGGCACAGCTGAGCCCAACCTGAGGAAGCTGCTGTCACAGAGTACGGGACCAATGTTACCGCAGAGACTTGCACATCACTGCAACAAATTTCTTTCTGCCAGCACACAGTAAAGCAGAGACCCCAATTCCTTTTTCCACACTGCCCCACTGTCCAGCAAGGAGGAGGAAAAGCACAGACAGGCTGGCAGTGGAAGCTGAAAGCTCCCACCACTGAGCTTGGTCTGCAAAAAACTAGCAGCAGAATCTGGGCTTATTAATTTTAACTGTGTTTTTCTGGGAGGGAGGGTGTAATGGAGAAGATCAGAGCAGAAACAGGAAATAGCAGCTTGCAAGACAGAAACTCTAATTTCAATGAATTTTGTGGGTAATTACATTTTAGCTGGACTTTTGCTGTAGCTGGCACCTTCAGCAGCCCCACAGGCATGGAAGGTGCTGGCCCAGTCCCTGCAGCGTGCGGATGAGGCAGCCAAATGTGGCAGAGGAGCTCAAAGAAGGGCAGGAGCAACAGAGACTCCTTGAGGCCAGGAACATGATTCAAACAGGCTGGGAGGGATAAGAGGTCTCAAGCAGGCTTCTTCCAGCTTCCCCCAGTGCAGCCTTTTTACTGCAAATGTAGCAAGGGGTGGAAAGGAGGAGATGGGGGAGAGCACGATCCGGTGTTAGAAAGAGCATCAAGCTGTCAGAAAGCAGCCTTCACATTACTCTTGTAGATGAGTAAGGGTAAAAACTTCCCTGAGCTGTTAGTCTGGAGAAGGGGCTAGCACTTGGGTGAAGGATGGCAGCACTGCTGCTTTGTACTTCAGCAGATCTGTGCAGCCAACCCTTAAAATTACTAAATCTACTGGATAAATAAGGAGGTTGAATGGCTGAACTATCCCCTAGACATCCCACCTAGAAAACTCATTTTTATGACCCCACCCATTACATTCACCTCAAAGATTGCACCCTGCTGCTCTAAACCAGAGAGTGTTCCACCTGTGACTTACAAAGCAAAGTACAAGGCAAGAAAGTGCTAAAAAGCCAAGGTGTGGGGAACGACAGCCGAGAGGATAGGCAAGGATAATTAGAGCCGCCAAGTGGCTTAACTAGCAAGTTGTTTCGATTGCACTGCTCATACCCCTGGAACAGTAGTCAAGGAAGACCTTGCCTTGGTACCTCCCACACAACTGCCTCGAAGAAGAGGCTGCAAAAAGCACCATCTGTGTTGATAGTTGTCATTTCTAACAACAGTTTGCCCTTCAGATTATTTAACTTTTCTCAAAGGACCTGTATATTTGGAACCAAGCTTTGTTAACCTGTTTATGTTGCATCACCCAGCTGCATTGCCAGCGACTCAGGTTATTTCAGTAAGTGTTTACAGTAACTTTCTGGTGGAAGAAAGCTTCCTTCAGGGAGCTGCGAGGAGGGCAGTGCTTCACTTTTAACTGGGGAAAGGGGAACTTCTACATGCATGAGACAGGTGAAATAGGTCCAGGCAGGGTAGGCTTGCTGCTGTAACTTGGTTTTCAACACGCTCGCGCATTTCACATGAAACCAGCGTGTAACATACGCAGACTATACGGTACACTGACTGTCTCAGCACCTTTGTTCCAACAGCACAGCGCTTGCTTTGTTCTCACTGGAGACTTCTGCTTCCCATATGAGATCTGGAAGCACCAGCTTGAGAAGCCACTGTCTATTGGGGCAGACTGGGCTAACAGGACCCAGAGCACAGACCAAACCTGCTTCTGGCCTCAGCACCAGGATACGCTACTTATTAGTGGCAGGTAAGCAGCAAAAGGAAATCTTAGCCAACAGAAATCTTAGCATAACTCGCCTTCTTGCCTCTACGTTCTTGCTTTCCTTGTTCAGTCCAAACCACGCGTGGTCCCGCCTGTCTCCTGCCCTTCGGTCCGAGGGCTTTTCAGGACAACAGAGCCCACCCCTGCTGCCCCTTGGGCCTGGTATCATTGAGCCTTGGGGAGAAAGGTAGGTACCCCTAGGCAAAAAAAATAGCTTAACAAGCTTTCACTGCCCACATCCAATCCTTTCTGCTACCTTTTCAAGAACCAAAGCGGTCTGGGCTCTTCTAATACTGACAGATGGCCTCATCCAGCAAGCTGGTGACACCTCTCCTACAGAGCCTCTGGCCCAAGTGATTCACCTGCTAAGACTACAATGTGAGCACGGTACTAAATTTTTAAAAGCGAGAGAGAAGAGGACAAGCTTAGCTGAACAGCCACACGCAGCAATGTCACGGTTTCTGAATTAATAAAAAGCCAACAGCATTACAGATAAATGTATTTTAATTAGGATTAAATACTATCTCAAGGTATCTGGAAATCGCACTTGTACTGTACTAATCAACAGCCAGAGGCAATAAAAAAAAAAAAAAGAAGTCTGAAAACGTAAAAGTTCTAAGATCCAACACATGACAGTATGTGCTGCCATTTAAAGCAACAAACACCACTCCCCAGAACAGATATTCTTAGAGGAAAAAGTCATAACATTTTTGTATGGACAAAAAAAATTAAATTGAAGACTGGAAGAAATATATTAGTGCCTGCCTTTTTTAAAGTTTTTTTTTTCTTTTTTTTTTACATTAAATACAGTTTTCTTCAAAAGCAAGGTACTTTCTAAATGCATGGTTTATATACTGTATGTACACAAAAGCAGAACATTGTACAGTGTTTTTGGATAAAGCAGCACTAACTAGCTATAAGCCGGTACGGTGTTGCTGAACCAAATGCCAGGTGACAAGTTAAGCACTCTAGGAGAAGTATCTCCATGGTTGGTACGAGAAAAAAAAAAAAAAAAAAAGTAAAAGTATCATGTATGTACAAACTGATCATTCATCAAACAAATCCCGCAAACTCAGCATCCTTTGCCATGGAACTGTACATGCTGATCAATGGAAGTCTTACTGCATGAACTGATCAAGAGACCCAAAGTAAAGATTTTCTTTCGATAACGAAGTGCGTTACCCACGCAGAGAGCACTCACGCCAATCGCCGCTGCCACATGGCACCCCTGGGCCCCGGGCTCCAAGCGGAGCAGATTCTTACTGCAGCCTCAAGCCAGGTAAGCTCCCTGCATTTTTCCACTCTACAAAATATGAAATGCCCCAACCAAACCACATGGAACTGAGATTAAAGCTACATTATTGAGTATGTGTATGTTCACTCTGCCTTTCTGCAGACGGCTACAGATTAAAGCAGAAAGCTTGCACCCAAGTATCGCCAGCTCAAAGGGACTGCCAGCAATTTCCATACTTAGTGCAACGTTAACTCCTATACTTTATCAAAATGACTTACTGTTCTTCAGATGCACAACGTGCTTATTTGGGTTTTACAAAAACAGACAAACGAGAACACTGTGCAGAAAACTAGCTTCAGGTTTGTACATTTCTCCGTATTTTATAATTTTTTTAAAGTCTGCCCCATTAAAAACTCACCAAACTTAGAAACAGTTTGTGCCCCGGTTCAAAGTCAATTGCCTCAATATATGACTCTTCTTAAATTTATTTTAGGGTTAGCAGTGGGGCAAAGAGATTAAGGTTCTTCTTGTTACATACACTTTTAATTGTCATTCAGTCTACATCTTCAGAAGAGGTTATTCGCTGTACTTTGGGGATGCTGTTCGTCTTTGCATTAGCCACTACCCTGGTTTAAGGAACTGAATGTTTCTTCTTCAAAGAGGACAGAAGCCAGACAACGTGTTTCTAAACCGCATCAACTTAAAGTTTCAAGTTTTAATGGTGTAAAAATCTGCATTCAGTTACAGTTAAGAGAAACTTGCTACACAGCAAACTGCATCCAAATCTATCAGTTATTGGTGGGACCTTTAAATTAACCGTTAACGAGTTACTGAAAGCATCCAGACCTGGAAACATCAGATCACCCAGCCAGTGAGCCAGCAGCTCCCTCCTCCCATTTTTCATGAGGCTTTAACAAATGCAACTGATGTGACCTTAGCACTGGAGCCAACGACTCCCACTGGTTAACTCCAATCCCTGACAGGGCTAGGGAGATCCTGTGTTAAGCCCAATGCAATATGCATTAGTGTCGTGGAGCAGGAAGATCCCCGTGTCTACTTGTTAAAGTTCACACAAACCATACAGATATAGACAAGGTAAAACACAGACTCAAAAGGATCCATTATGCTTGAAGAAAATTCCAAATAAAATGACATCTTCTGCACAGCCCAGCCTCAGACACAGCCACACCTTTATCTAGTATAATAAACTCTGTAGTAAACTGTTTTTGACCTCCATAGAGAGTAGGAATTGTCAAATTTAAGAAGATAAACTCCTCTCCCTGGGTACTGGTGGCTGCCAGCATACACTTCTTCATGACAGTCTCGTCTGTACACAGGCACTATTTCATCTAGCTGAGGCTTGTTGGCATTCTTTTTGGCTTTTTCTTCACTGCTAGTATTTTCTGCAAGGAAGAAAAACAAGTGTCAGTTAATATGGGTGGAGGCTTTACAAGAAAACGTCATACTGATCTGCAGCGGACAAGGCAGTCTTTGTCAATTCAGAAGTCAGATGGGTTGAAGAGGTTCATACCAAGGCTGTGGCTAAAGCATTCAAAAGCAGGAGAGGCAGTAAGCGTGCTCACTTTATCACGAATTTTACAGTTTGATATTAAAACTCACCGCAGCCATCTCGCCAGCACAGCTGGGACAGTTTGTAGAGATGCCAAGCTCCAGCTTTCATTAAGACGTTACCCCACACCGACTGCTGCTGAGCTACTTGCTACTACCAATTACTTTGCAGTAAAAGCCCGAAGGCCGTGGCTTCCCATGTCAGAGCAGTTCCCTCTAAGCAAGTCACACGCTCGTTTCAAAACATTTTTTTTTTCAGTGGTACATTGGGCTCCCCTCTAGGTAAAGGCTGTGACCTGTGTCCTGACCACTAGAAGGAACTGCTCTTTAAAGTTGTTTTGCTGAACTCTCAGTCACACAGAATCACAGAAGCTTCCTCCCTCAAAAAGTTCACAAACAGCAGGGCGGGATTTTAATTCAGGTTTCCAGTGTGCAGATCCTCTATGTTCTACTATGGCATGGGTTTCAATCCAGCTTACTGAGTAGCTGAATCGGCCAAGAGGGCACAGTAAGGAGCAAGTAAAACGCAGGCAAAATATTCTGCCACCCTCAATTGCTTTAATCTATCTGTGACCAAATGAGATTACTGAAGTTACGTTCAGAGTTGCGCTTCCTACTCAAAATTGAAGATGAGATTCCAGCTAGATGGAAGTTTGGGCAACTAGGAGATTACACAAGAAAATCAGCTGGGTTTTTCCTCCATGGCAAGCTCTGTCGGACTGGCAGTTCATTTAAATAAGCATGCTTACCTTCTTCTTCATCCTCATCATCACTGGATTCGCTGACATGTACACTGACTGCAGTATTAGGGGAGTCTGTCCATTCAAAATACACCCCAAAACCAATGTCATAATTGTCTGTAGCAAACTCCCAAAAGAGGTAAGACCCCTCTTCATGAGTTGGTACTCTAACTGTAACCACTTCTCCTCGGCCCACTGTGATCACAGAGTCTGCATCCTGCCGGATTTTTTCCTTGAAGTCTTTTATCTGGGGTCGTGTCCACATCGATGGGGCAGCTATCACTGGAAGAGAATCTGGAGAGGGGAGGAAATACTCCAATTAAGCTTTATTTCAGTTGTTTCTGCTGCTTAACTAAGTCTGCCTTAGGGGCACTTAAGGACCACAAGCAGAGCTGCTTCCAAGTGATTTTTATTTATCTTTTAAAAACTGAGAAAACATCTTTCCACAGTTCAAACTTGCATTATACGCAATTCAAGTTTAGATATAGCACTGCACATTCAAACCCCATCAGTTTACTCACTCGCCACATTTAAACCAACAGTGCTTATGCAGAAAAGGCTCAAAATACAGACAAACTGCTACATGTGGCAGGGTTACAATGCCCAAACCCCTGCCACTGAATGGATATTCAATGTGACAGAACCGGAGGCTGTGAACCGGTCCAAAAATTGTCAGGTACTGACTAAAATAACAGAACACCTCATTATGCTGACAGGGATCAGTCTAGTACTGGTTCTACTGGGATCCAAGCAAGTCCTTTGAGGACTACTGATAGCAGATGAGGTAACACTCAGAAACATGAGTGATGAGAGAGCTGCTGGGAGGCTTCTTGTCCTGCTCCTCTTCCACAGCTTCCCAGAAGCTGTCTGAAGAAGGTGGGAAATGTGAGGGGACACACACAGGACAGGACTAAGCCACAGGTAGGCCAGCATTTAGAGACAGTAAGAAGAATTTGTCTTTATTTTAATCTGCAAGGCTAAATGCTCAGTTTTGACCTGACTTCAAACAAGATTGAACACATTTATGCACAGAACAGCTTTCTACTAGAACTTTAATACTCCTTTCCTTCAAGTCATGAGTGAAAGGAGATTCTGGATTCACCTGCTTTGCCTCAAATGCTTTTGCTTCTTCTTTTTTCAAAGCTGAATTTTGCCTGTGCAATACTGTTCTCCCTTGAGAGAAACCAGACCCAAACCAGCCCAGGCATGAAAATCAGCTCTTGCACAGCCCAGTGAAGCCTAGGGAAGAGCCGCAGTAACCACACTTAAGATATCCAAATCCTAAGAAAGGCTTTTGCTATTTATTTTTTAATTAAGGAACTGAGTCAGTCCTACCTTTTGGTCCATTCTCCAGTGCTTCTTCCAAACCCTCCTGATCCAGCTCTTTTTCAGGGCTGTCTGCATGTGCACTGGCCTGCCCATTAATAGATGGGGTGTCCCCTGGGGCAGGGGCGTTCACCTTCGATGCAGTAGTCAGAGGTGTCCCTGTCGCTGCCACAACCGCCTCCTGTTGTTTTTGTAAGGCTGCCTAAAACGACAGAAGTTAAGTCAAGTAAAACTAAAACCTCCCAAGATGTCTCCCTCTTCCAGAGAAAGTATAAAGACACTTTAAAGGCAAAAAAAATTTCCCCCACACCTCACAAAGAGGCTTGACACAAGAAACAAGAAGCAGCACACATTAACCAGTGAGAATCACGTGTACTTAGCATTAGGGAAAGCTACATTCATTTTGTTCTAGGCTGGGGGATAAAACCTGAACAAAAAGATTCAACTCTCAAGTTAATTAGGGAACACACAATAAACTCTTGCACTTAACTAACCTCAGAAGATCTGCATTTCAGTTAACTCCTGTATCATTTCTTCCAAAATTGAAAGCGATGACTGGTTTTTACCAGTGAGCTGAAAAGCTTCTAGTCTGAGCTCACCAGGTGTGAAAAGAGCTGCAAGTATTTAAGGTCTGTTAAGTACTTGCCAATTTGTGACTTAACTTGCTCAACAAGGTTTTCTACCAAATCCACCATGCCTGACAGAGGCAGTTACTTAATATGAAAGCAGGAAACCACAAGGACTGTGAGTGGTCTGGGAGAGGAGTTACTGAAGTTCCAAGGTGCTGCTTTCAGAACATGACTTATGTACATTGAAACCCTTTAGATAAAATTTACTATGCTGTTCCTGTGCAGAGGATTAAATACACCTAAAATGAGATTATACAAGGTAACAATCATCCTTTTGGATTTAAACAGGATGCATTACTCCTTGAGCTTCATGGTTTATTCCCCTGCCCATACTTATCAGTACTGAGAGATTGTACACTTTTTTTTTTTGTCAGGACAGGGAAAAGGTGCAATTGGCAGTACTGTTCCTTAAAGAATAACCTAATAAGCACATGATTTTGATGACTGAATGGAATATATGTATCCTGAAGGAGTACAAAGATGATACAGTCAAACATTAGTATTTAAATTTGGACAATTGTACAGATGCTGTCTAGATTCACCTTCTACTGCACTGAGACCATGTGAAGTGGCAAGAACTTTTCTAGAAAACTATTGCATACAGTCTCTCCAGAAGTAATTGCATCACAAGCTGATCTGGAAGCAAACATGACAGAAGAGCACTTTTTAACTGCAATTATAGATCCCAATGCAGCTTAATTCCAGGCATCCAAAGGGCAAGTATTCCTCAGAAGTGTTACAGAGACTACCCGAGTCCTCAGGAAAGTCCAAAGTAGAATTTTAGCTCTGTTATATGTTTCTTTTTCATCCTTTCCTCTACAAGAGTTGTCCAAGTAGAGATTTGAAAGATAAGCTTCACTGTCTGGCAGCCTTATTACTTTGTAAGCCACTGCAAAGGAAAGGCTATTTTGCTCGGGTCTTGGTCTGGAGGGCTTTAGTCTTCTGTATGCACAAAGCACACAGCCATGATTAAAAGGAGCAGTGCTGATAGCACTGAAGAAAACTGGCAGCAACAACTCTGACATCTCAGTCTCAGGGGAGCAGTATCAGTTACAAAAGGCATCGAGGCCAAGACTGATAAAGCTATAGCTTTTGCTTACTGTGATGACACCAAAGCCCTGGTACCAAGGTGTCATTAAGCTTCAAGAGTACCTGTAAGAGGGCAGGAAGCCTCTGACTTTCCTGTATCACTTCAACTTCATCGAGTCATGGTTTGGGAGACACAGAAGGGACTTTTCAAGATCATTTAGTCCAACTACCCCGCCGCTGGCAGGGACATCTCCCACTAGACCAGGCTGCTCAAAGCCCCATCCAACCCGGTCTTGATCACTTCCAGTGATGGGGGCATCCGCAACTTCTCTGGACAACCCGACCCAGTATCCAACCACCTCCAGACGTTTCTTCCTTATGTCTGATCTAACCCTACACTCTCTCAGGTTAAACCCATCGCCCCTTGTCCTGTCACTACAGGCTCTGCTGAAAAGGTCTTTCCCCATCTTTCTTGTAAACCCCCTTTTTAGTACTGAGAGGCCACAATATGGTCCCCACAGAATCTTCTCTTCTCCAGACTGAGCAACTCCAACTCTCTCAGCCTTTCTTCATAGGAGAGGTTGCTCCAGACCTCTTATTTTTGTGGCCCTTCTCAGGACCCACTCCAACAGGTCTTTCTTTCTTGTACTGGGCACCCCAGAGGTGGATATGAGGCTCCAGGTCAGTTCTCATCAGAGCTGAGTAGAGGGGGGAGAATCACCTCCCTCCCTCAACCCTTTTGGCTACACTTGGATGCAGTTGGTCAGGATGCAGTTGGCTTTCAGGGCAGCAAAAGCTCATTGCCAGTTCATACCCAGTTCTTCACCCACCAGTATCTTCAAGTCCATCTCTGGAGGGTTGCTCTCAATCCCTTCACCCCCCTGGCCTGTACAGATACTGGGGACTGTCTCAAACCAGGCAAAGGACCTTGCACTTGGCCTTGTTTAGCTTCAGGAGGTTCACATGGCTTCCTTCACTGGACACGTCTCTGCTGAGGGCATCAGCCTTGTCAAAACACAAATGACTTACCAGGAAATTAGTTACTGAATTTAAGTCTTTAGCTCAAGACCAACAGACCTCAGATTGCTGGTTATAGGTCTTTTAAGATTCGGGTCCTGTCCAGAGAGTTCAGATGCACTAGAGTCTGGCTTACATCTGTTTAAGAGTTACAGATGGGCATCCCTGAACTTTAGAATAGCTTGGGACATGAATGCAGCACGTTTGTCAGAGGCACGAGATTCTGCTGAACAGAGAAGCAGCCTTTCAAGCCCAGGACAAAATCCTTGAGAACTGATGTACTACAGCCACCAGAAATATGCAAGTCTGTTCTCTCACCCAAACCACAAGGAGTCTATTGCAGGCAAGCAACTTGGACAGTGATGCTGGACAACAGAGTCAAAAGGAGAAGTCTGTAGGGCTCAGGCTGACCGGGAGGAGCAACCTCAAACCCAGCAGCGACGTGACAGCACCGGACGCACGTTCAGCTGGAAACACACGTCTGACCAAAGCCTGCTGCCCTGCACAGATCCGCAGGTGCGAGACTACGTGACAAGTCACTTGAATGGGTCTGTTTGTGCTTGGAGGCACTGGTGTGCACCCCCATTAAATTACGTGCACAACAGATGCTGCAGAGTGCTTCACATTTTGTCCCCAAGAATAATATTGAACCAAGTAGTAAAGGCTGCTTAGAATTTTTCTTTGCTAACAGCTGCTTCAGAAAACTACTCAAAAAGCTTGAATAAAGGGGCTTTGGTGTTTCAAAGGGAAGCAGCATTAGTCACGAGAACACTATCTCTCCTTGTAGCAATTATCTTTTCAAGGAGATAACATCCCCTAGAGACAGCCTGGGACACCAAAAAAAAAGAAAATCAAAACAAAATAAAATCTAAGTTCCTCAGCTGACCGATCATACCTGTTGCTGTGCAAGCTGGACTTGATACAACTGCTGCATGTATTGTTGGTAATGCTGTTCCTGGAGCTGCCGAATTAGGATCTGCTGCTGTTCGTAGTTGCCTGGGTATTGCTGGGCCGCGTACTGCTGGAACTGAATGGCAGTCTGGGAGTTCAGCGCTGCCATTATCTGTTGCCTAGATTGGTGGGGGGGAGAGTATGAAGATTACAAGCAGCCAAGAGTAGCGGGGAAAATCCCTGTACTTAAGTGACTTAAGTGGCCTCCAAGACAGTTAATTCCTGCAAAAGCCAATTAAAACAAATATAGGTGACAGAATGGAGCCCAGAGGTAATGCAAACGTGAATTTCGCCTGAAAAATATGTTGAGAATACAGAGAAGGGTGCAACAATTTCTACTCAATGTTCAAAGATCATCATATGTTAAAAAAACAAAACAAGAGCTCTTACATAATTCTCAATCTGTAGTCTGATAAAGACGTAGTGCTAGAAAAATGCATTACAATTTCAAGGGAAAAAACCCACATTTGGTTTCTCCAGAAAAGATGCAGAAAACATCGTTCTAGCAGCCTTTCTCTAATTATTGATAAGAACAAACCTGCTGTGGTACAGCACAGCAATGCTTTTTAGTAAATCAAAGAAGAACACACATTACTATCTTAATTTCCCAGGACAGCAGGCAAACAAATATGAAAAGCATGACTGACTGTGGCCTATCTCAGGAATGAAAAAAATGCTGCTAAATAGGGCATCTGCTCCTCCAGTAAACCAACTGCTGAAACTTCAGCAGGGACACATGGGTTACTTATGCACAGGCTCAGTTTTTCCTCCTCTCTCCAAAGCACTAAGAGAAGCTAAATAGTAAAATCACTAGCTAGACACAGGGTTTGTCTCACATGTTAGGACCATCAGTGACGAGATAACTGATGCTTTAGAGGAAGAAAAGTGTCACACAAATGAAGGATTAACTCTTTCCTTCCCACTCTTCATCCTTCTCCAAAATTCTCTCTAAAAGCTCCAGTATTAGACTGGTTTACTGTCCTAACAGGCAAGATTTACTGCTCTTGAGCAAATCACGGCCAGTTTAGATACACCTGACATACATATATATGTATTTACATTCTTTTTCTATCTGAACTATCATCTCTGTAACCTGCTACAGCCACTCAATATACAAACGCTATTCATGTCAAAAAAACCCTCTTCGTTTCAAGGCATACCACACTTGTAATTTAGCACTGTGCAACAATTTTCTTTCTGTATTTGCTGGTCATTTATGTCTGTATTTTTCACTCCTCTGGCTCTCACCACATTAAACAAACAATAAAACTTCTGAATTATTTGCTCCCTTCTCAAAATCACTACATAGCAAGCACAGGATCTCCTCCCAAGACACTCCCTGCAAAGACATTTTTATTATGGAAATGGTTGCTCACTGACACGGAACAGCTTTGATGACTTACTATTCTCTTAAATATTACATGGGCAAAGCTAGATCCATGTTTTCAGCACCTGATTGTGGTGGAAATAGTGTAATATAACTTTAACTGTATATTCTAAGTAAAAAAAAAACCAAACTCCAGGCTACAAACAGAGGCTAAGTACACTAGCACATGAATTTTGTGTTCCTTTTAGAAAGGTGGTACGATGCGGAGATTGTCAGTGTACAAATGAGATCTGCAGACACTTCACACTTCCTGGAAACGGAGCCCTTTTAAGGAAGTAGTGTTAGACTACGAAGCTTAAAAGATTTCAGCCATGCATTCAAAGCATCCCACTGAACTGCAGTTATCCTTTCTAAAAGGCTTCACATTCCATGGAAGGATACAAACTTCCAAGCTACAGTTCAAACTACACTTCCAGCTGGACACTTCAGCTCTGCTTAGCTGACTGCAGCATTATTAAAGAAGCAGAGCCACAAGTTTCCACGAGGTGCAGCTCTTGAACCCCAAAACCTCCAGAGCATCTCTTTTAAACAAAGCTTCTCTGGCACTTGCACCTGAGAAGGCTGCATACAATAACTTGCTGGGATTCTCTGCAATCTGTGTCTCCCCTTAACTAAGGATGCAAATGTCACTGTTACAAAACGAGTGCTGTGAACATCAGGTATTCAGTTCTAGCATCACTATTTAAAACAATTATATTGAATTGCCTCAAATGCAAGGCAGTTATTTTCTTTGAAGTGTTTGCTTCTGCTACTCACTTCTGTTGTTCCATCCGAAGTCGTTCCTCCTCTATTCGCCTCCTCTCTTCTTCTTCCCTTCTCAGTCTTTCCTCCTCTTCCCGCCTACGTTTTTCTTCTTCTTTTTGTAAACGCTCACGCTCCTCCTCTTCACGTCGCCTTCGCTCTTCCTCTTCTCTTCTGCAACATCCACTCAATAAGCTATTTCAGCATTCCTACAACCCTAGGATAAGTTATTTTCAACATGCTGTAACCTGCCTTTTGCCTGTCCAGTAAGGCTTTTTGTTTGATATCATCTCCTCCCACTTAAATTGGCCTGAAGAAGTGTTTTATTGGACATAAGAAGAAAATATATTACTGTTTAGTTTCACTGTGCTCTGCAGTATGATGAGTGTAAATTCTGTATTATAGTTTGACATCACAGAATGATGAAATTGTTTAGGCTGGAAAAAACCTTTAAAATCACCAAGCTCAACCATTAACCCAGCTATGCCAGGTTTGCCACTAAACCATGTTCCTAAACAACACATCTACACGTCTTTTAAAGACCTCCAGGAATGATGACTCAACCACTTCCTTGGGCAGCCTGTTCCAGTGCTTGACAACCCTTCCAGTCCTAATATCCAATCTAACCTCCTATGGTGCAACTTGAGCCCATTTCCTCTTGTCTCATCAGTTGTTATTGGCAGAAAAGACTCATCCCTACTTCGCTACAACCTCCTTTCAAGTAGTTGCAGAGAGTGATAAGGTCTCCCCTCAGCTGCCTCTTCTACAGGCTAAACAATCCCAGAAATATTCATTCTAACCTGTTACTATACTATCTGTAGCAGACTGCAGCAGAAAAAAATTGCCTGGAAACCTCAACCACATCTTCCAGGCATTAACACATATTGAATAATTACATGGATACTATAGTTTAATAATCACGAGACGTAAACAACAGTAGAAGATACACTTTGCCAAGTTGCTAATCCATACTAGAAGAAGAGTTTAAAGCACATGACAATTTCATATTCTGTGTACATTTAGTGCACAGATGTGTTGAGGCAGAAATTTTCTGAAGCACATACTTCTTAAAGCAGACGACAGCATCAGAAAAATTTTAGAACCTCGTTACATTCTAAGTGTCTTTACCTCAGAAACAATCGTTTGCTACCAGCGAAGCAAAATGGCTTGAAGAAATCAAATGGTAGCCCAGCCACCTGAACTGCAAGCATGTCTTTTCCCATGACAACTTCAACCTAAGCTAGCTGTGACACTGTCTACAGGTCAAGAATTATACATTCAATATAATCCCACACCAAAGGACTCAATCATTACCTTTTTTTCTCTTGTTCTTCTTTTTCTATCTTGTGGGAAGTGACATACGTTGAAAACAAGTGGCAGCATCTATTCAGGAGTTTAACAAATTCTGTCATAGCTTTTTGCTTTGACATGTTTCCAAGGGCAGCCCATTCCTTCCTGAGAGAGAAATCAGCTGAAATAACAGAAGACTCAACTCTTTTCAAGTCAGTTGTCAACTCTGAGAATACAGCAATGAGAAAAAAGTTGAGAGACCAGGATCCAAACTTTATCATATGCACTTTCAGAGAACCAATGAATTTTTTCCCCAAAGATAGCACAGTACTCTCTTCTGCATCAGAACAACTCTTTCAAACAGACGTAACTCAATGTTCACAGGAAATCCCATACATACCATTAACCCTACTTAGAATTCTGATCTATGCCCAAGTTTCCCAGCTACAAACCTGAAATATTTTTACCCTTCCTCCACTTCAGTTTGTGGAAAAAAGCACATACATTTTACCGGATGAACAAACATGGTAACAACCCAACCATTGATTATAGGGCTTTAGTCAGTTGAATGCAACAGCCTTTGCATATTTTTTTGCCCTGTCTGGGCAAAGGCAGTGCACTGGGTCCAGCTCCAAGAAGCCAGTGTTGTGTTGAACATTGCCTTCACACTGGAAATAGCAACAACGAACACCAGAAACGTAGCTGGAACTGCAAGCAACAGAAGAAATGCGCCTGAGACTGCCTAGATCTCAAAAAAATTTACTCAGAGGCTGAACGCATCAGATATCTCATTTCAGAAGTTATCATAGAATCATAGAATGGCCTAGGCTGGAAGGGACCTTAGGGATCATCTAGTCCAATCTCCCTGTTTTTGGGCAGGGACGCCACCTCTCGACTAGACCTGGCAACACATGGGGACCGAGCGGGAATTGAACCCACGACCTCGGTGTTGATCCTTGTTGCCAGCACCACGCTCAAACCACTGAGCTAACCAGTTATCTTTGGTATTAGTAAAAGCTACGGTGAATACTGCTACCACTGGCAAACAGCTTGACCTGCTGTAACCCTGGTGTGGAGTTTGGCTGAAAGATGGTCCCGCACAGCTAACCAAGTCTTAAACTGCTGTGACAAGGTGGACTGTCAGCACAGCGTTTTTTCCTAATGTGATTGGAAAAAAACCAAAAAATACTCCAAAATCTTCTGTTAGCTCCTTTACTGAACTGTGACTCAGATTTCTAAGATGTATTTGAAGGGGCCACTCTCCCTTTCCACTGCCATACACAAAGATGGAGGCAACTCACGTATTTGCAGTTTTATCGCAGAAATTGGATGATGTTCTCTTCAGGCAGGAAAAACAGAGTTAAGATCAAAAAGAGAACCAGTCCCTTTACCTTCTATCATTCCCCAGCACATCAAAGAATCCAACTTCAGGGGAAGTGTCAGGGTTGTAAGGTCCCAGCAGAACCTGCTTGTGCAGTGCCACAAGCTTGAGTTTTTCTTCATATGTTGGATGAAAGGCTTTGCCATCTTTTTCTGTAGAAAGAAAAAAACAAAAAAGAAAAAAAAATTTCACTGCTGTGATAACTGATTACAGAATCACAGAATTATTGAGGCTGGAAAAGATCTCAGAGATCATCAAGTCCAGCCTATGACCCAGCAACACCACATGGGCTAGAACGCATGCTACGGCAAAGAGCATTTTGTATAATTATCAACATTCCTTTTTTAGAGGAAATCATAAGAAAACTCACAAAAGGCTAGACAAATTCAAATAAAATATAAATTTGTCCAGAAGAAACAAATCTACTTCAGCTGATGAAACTTAATTGGGAAATGTTTTCCATTATTCCCTCTAGAGACAACCTTAGCTAGTAAGTTATCACATAAATATCTGTTCATTAGTTGAACATCATACTGTATGGAATATACCTCTGAAATATTTAAAAACCTTAACTTAAATTCAAATGTGTTTGTCAAGTCTATTGTAGCGTGGATAGGAAGGATTTTCCACAAAGAAAGATGTGATGTTAACTTCATAGATTGTTCTCCTTTCAAGCTCTTCACATAAGCAAAAGCAGAACAAGCAAAGTTTAAGGCAAGGAAAACTGCAGGCAAGAAAAATTAGAACTAAGGGAGAGTTTTCCTGGAGGGAATTCAATTGCTGCACTTGTGCCAAGGCAGCTGGAACAACCCCTCCCAATGAAAAGTCTTAGAGGTGACTCCATCAGCACCAACATGTACAGAGAGGCTCTGGCCATAAGACGCAGGCAACACAGGCCTGAACAGAATCAGAATTCCAAGGGCTCTGCTCCAGTATCTTCTGAAGCAGTCCTAGTTAGATCCTGCCATGCATTTACTGGTAAGAAGAGACTTGCATTGATTTAAAATGATATATGAATTAGTCAGCTAGGATTTACCTCAGTACATTTGAACTGTCAAAACAAATCAAAGAAGCAGGCACTGCTATATGCAATTACACCGCTCGTTAAGAAAAGACCTTTTTCTCAAAGGGGAAAACAAATAAATAAGCATCATCTCCTTCTGGAAAGGCTGAAATGAGGAAGCTATTACCAGAGGTAAACAACAGTTATTTCACATGACTCTACTACTAACTGCTCTCCACGCAGTCAGGAACTCCGGGCAGAGCTGCCGCCAGCTCTACTTTGGAGAAAGTTGTTTACAGCCTTTAAACTGAACAGTCCAATTCACACCCAAATTTTAGGGCTGACATTTGCATATTGCAAAATCGGTGAGCCAAGGCTTGTGAATGAGGTTATTAACCGGAAAAGAAGCAAATCCTGGAACAAAAGAGGAAGGGAAATAACTCTACTATGTGTTTGTTGAGAAACTCAGAGCAAGTACTTCTGAAAATTGGAAACAATCCCAGAGGGAAAACGTTTGCAGGTCACAGCAAGAAGCTCTATTTTTGACAGTTCAGTAAGTTACCTGACTTAGTTAAAACACAAGGAACCAATACCTGCATGCTATTTGTTTGGAAGCCAGAATCAAAAGAATGAGGAAGGCAAACATCTAATTACTTATAATCCATTCCTAGAGGTCCACTTCATTCCCCTAGAATCTCAAGCATTCTCTCTTCTCCCAGTGTCACATCACCTTACAGCAAATACAGCTTCTAGCTTCAAAAACCAGAAGCCTTTCTCCACAAAAATACTGATTTCCAAAAGTACTTGGTGGAGTGGAGAAGGGGGAGTACCGAGACTGAACCAGTCTACTCAGGGGTATCCAGCAAAAGGACAAGAGGCAGCAGACACAAAGTGAAATACAGGGAGTTCCACCTAAGCATAATGTATGTGGCTCTGCGGGTTCTTTTTCTTTTTTTTATGGGCAGAGTGATCAACCTGGAACAGGTTGCCCAGAGAGGTTTTGAAGTGTCCACCCTTAGAGAAATTCAAAACCCATAGGGACACTGTCCTAAGAAGCCTGCTCTGAACAGGAGGGCTAAACCTGACAATCCCCAGAGGTCCCTTCCCACCTCGATAAGTCTGTGATCCTTAAGCGATGCAAATCGCTACAACACAGTGAGCTCTCTCTCTGGGTCTCCCACTCTCAGGCTGCCTAAAGAGCCCCTTGGCCTTTCCTCAATTCTTCACACTTCACATTTAACTCAGAATTTGCTTGTTCGGTAGCAAGCACTTCCATTAGCCTCAATAAATAGCACACACGCTTTGAAATCATACTTCATATCCTGCAGCGGCGTTCTTAAAAGCAAGCCCATTGATAAGGGTACTACACAGAAAATTTGCCAGGCTTCTGAGCGAAGTACGCTTCTCCAGGGGGTCCCTAGGGCATAGTTTACCTTGCACAACCTGTGCACGTACAGCCAAAAAAAAATAGCTATTTCCTGTACCAGACTGCTACATAAGCCAGCTAACACCGGCAGTATTTGAACTCACTTCTTGAGAGGCGTAAAGGGGAAAAACCATGTTGTTCACCATGCTATACACAGCATGTCCACATTTTCAAAGAACCAAGAAGTCGGAACCCAAGCCCTAATTACCAAGAGAAGCCAAAATCTGCATTTACAAAGAATAATGACCCAAGGGAAGAAGAACAAACAAGCTAAATAAGAGGAGAAAACAGACAGATGAGAAAAATATGAGACAGGTATTCAGTGACTCGTAGATAATGCAACTAGAAGGGAGGTTCTCCTACCCCTCTACTCTGCCCTGTTGAGACCAGACCTGGAATACTCTGTCCAGTTTGGGGCTCCCCAATTCAGGAGAGACAGGGGCCTACTGGAGAGAGTCCAACGGAGAGCTACGAGGATGATGAAGGGCCTTGAACATCTCTCCTGTGAAGAGAGACCGAGAGAACTGGGGCTGTTTAGCCTTGAAAGGAGATGGCTGGTAAGTGACCTTATTAAGGTATACAAAATATTTAGAGCCAGCCAAGACAGTAAAGTTGTATACTGGCTATTATGCAGTTGAATTCTTCAGCATGAACCACAGTGTATGATTATCCCAAAGATTTGAAAATGCTGCCATTAAACTGAACCAGGACATGAAGCCACCTGTAGTCAAATATGTCAAAAAGAGTGCATTAGTGAGTCCAGACGAGTGGAAGTGCCAAATTTATTCAAGCACCCATGAATGTACCATTTAAGTAGGTATTACCCACACATCCAATACAGCTGTCAGGAAGCTGAAGAACATCAAAGAGCCCTAGGGAACACACTGAGAAATCCAATGAATGCGCAGAGCAGTAGCACAGCAACTATACATCCCTCCCTCTGCCACCGGTACGTCTGAACCCACAGGGACTGAGAAAATCTCAGCTTTCTTACAGAAGATGACGAGACTCCCTTTCTGACAGTACCGCAAACCATCATTCACCTGAAATGACAATTTCTCAACTCAATGCTACACTTAAGCAATGGTTGCTAACAGATTTTAAGAAACAGACTTAGGAGACTGCTTCAGACAAGATCGTTACTCCTGTTTTAACTTCAGATTTTTTTCCCCTGTAAGAAACATGGCACAAAGTGCTGCAGCTTCCACCCCAATTTCACCTACTGCACTCACTCTAAATGCTTAATTCCCTTGAGATAGCATTCAGTCAAGCCATCTAGAAGAAGCTAAAAAACAGTTTGTCAAGTGCGATTTGTCACCTCGTAGTTTTTAAAAGCAGAAGTCACATATGTTAATGCTAGTCAGTCGCAAAGTTTTAATGAGCGAGACCGAAACTGAGAAGCGTGAGAACTGAATCACCGCCTGCAGATCCTAGCCCATGCTCTTACACTCTTAATTCTCTCCTGAAGATGTTCTGCATCAACAGAAGAGCTACCAACTGGCCCTTCTAATTAAACATAACCAAAGTCCAACTTCACATCAAATGTAGATAGGTTATAGGGGTTTTCATTCTCTTGAAAACAAGAGTCTACTTAACTTATGAATTACGATCATGCCATCAAATCAGCCCTCAAAGAAAGAAAAAGAGACGAAGTCAATTAATTTAGAATGATGTATTGCTGAGGTTGAAATGCATTCTTCTTAGGATAAAAGGGAATAACTTGGGGCAGTCAAACAAGAGTACTTAACATACCAGGAGAGATACCAGAATGATATGGTTTGCATACTGTCTGCTCAGATGTGCTGCATTACGACTCACTTTAGCCAGTGCATGAACACTTCAGGGACTGTCCCCTATTGAAGGTTGGGTGCAACGGCATTTCAATGGCAGGATGTGGAAAACCATAAAGCCAGGTTGATACTGGAAGAGATTTGCTGGCAGAACTACGCAAGCCACCCCCTCCCGCTGCAGGACACAGCTTACCTCTCAAACGAGCTACCTTCACTGGCATAACTCGTGCCAGCCCAACAAGCAGAATAAGCTGTCAGAGACACTTCTACTCTGCCAGCTGCCCCCGGGCGCACAACTACAGAGAGCCAGAGAGACAAAGAAACATACCCATTTCGGTAACATGACTCTCTTCTCTGCTCTGCACTGCATCCAGCACGACACAGCAGCTTCTTAATGGCAGTCAAAATGCTGGTCAACCTGGATCAGGCTCGACAGAGCAGTAAGGGAAAGAGGGTGCATTGAAAAGAAGGCTCTTTTTTCTCACAGAAAAATGGACTGCAACACTATTAACCATCTATCTTCTATGTCTCTGTTATTCTGAAAAGCGTACTTCATGAGCCATTATGAATGCTAAAAAAAGCAAGCACGGATCTCCTGCACAGCCTAAGGCCTGACAGCTGAAGCGGCCCGGGGTCAAGCATTTTAGATTTGCTTCTATCAGAGACAGAATAAAGTAGCTTTTGAGTCTCTTTAATATCCTAGCCCAGTTTCACTTGTGTTTTTCACATTGTTTATATGCACTCCCACCCCATCTTGTCTCCAGGCACTTCTGTTAAGTGCAATACAGCACCACAGGCAAGTGTTAGCAGTCATTGTAATAAGAAAATCCAATATATTTTCATCAGATTCAACTCTTCAAGAAAGAAAGTCCATCTTTCTTCTAGGAAGAAAGAGTTACAACCAGACAACTCAGTCTGCACACTGAAGCAGAA